GCTTGAACCCCAACATAGGGACACCTGGGCTGGGTGGGGACCCATACAGCCGGAGCTGGTCTGCAGAGGCCTAACACCTAGGCTCTAGGCATCACATCCAAACTCTTCAAATGTTTCACTATACACCTGGCAGTGGGCATTCACTGCCTCACTTGCTCATTCATTCATTCATTCATTCATCAAACACTCAACAGTGCCTCAGTGGGTAAGGTCTGGGTAAGATCTGTGGGGTACACACAGCCCCCTGAGCCTGGGGCCTGGGATCACTGGTATCGAGCTGGAACTTAAAAGGGCAGGGCCCAGGCAGAAAATACCTCTGCAGCAGTGGACAAAACCTGAACCAGAGTAGGGGCCAGACTCCTTCAGCTCCCCCTAATGGGGATGTGCCCGCAACCAAGGTACATGCCCCTGACTGGGATCGAACCTGGGACCCTTCAGTCTGCAGGCCGATGCTCTATCCATTGAGCCAAACCGGTTAGGGCCACAGCTCACTTCTTAATGCTCTAGTGCAAAGTGGGACACACCTAGATCCACTGAACTGGCACCTGGGTGAAGGAAGAGCAATGGGACAGTAACTTTTTTTTGAAAACTCCCCAGGTGATTCTGACACCGGTCAGCCCCACCCACTTCCACAATACCCACATGTGGGATTTCCTTTAGGGGTTCCGAGGGGGGCTTGAACCCCAACATAGGGACACCTGGGCTGGGTGGGGACCCATACAGCCGGAGCTGGTCTGCAGAGGCCTAACACCTAGGCTCTAGGCATCACATCCAAACTCTTCAAATGTTTCACTATACACCTGGCAGTGGGCATTCACTGCCTCACTTGCTCATTCATTCATTCATTCATTCATTCATCAAACACTCAACAGTGCCTCAGTGGGTAAGGTCTGGGTAAGATCTGTGGGGTACACACAGCCTCTTGAGCCTGGGGCCTGGGATCACTGGTATCGAGCTGGAACTTAAAAGGGCAGGGCCCAGGCAGAAAATACCTCTGCAGCAGTGGACAAAACCTGAACCAGAGTAGGGGCCAGACTCCTTCAGCTCCAAGAGAAGGTACCAGCTCTGAGGAGTGGGCCCCTCTCTTCCCTTGCTATGGGAAGGGGCATGGGCCTATGGACTAAGAAACCACCAGACAGCTTCCAGGTTAGTCAGCTAAGGAATCTTTCTGAGCCTCTGGGGTCAGCTGGGTGTGTGTGTGTGGGGGGGGGGTAGGGTTAGGCCTGAGAGGTGGATCCCCCAAATTTAAAAAGGAACTTCAGCTGGCCAGTGTTGCTCAGTGGTTGGCACCAACCTATGAACCAGGAGGTCACGGTTTGATTCCCGGTCAGAGCACACACCCAGGTTGTGGGTTTGATACCCAGTGTGGGCATGCAGGAGGCAATTGATGATTCTCTCTCAACACTGAGGTTTCTATCTCTCTTTCCCTCTCTGAAATCAATAAGAATATATTTAAAAAAAAAATAGCCCTAGCTAGTTTGGCTCAGAGGGTAGAGCATCGGACTGGGGACTGAAGGGTCCTGGGTTTGATTCCGGTCAAGGGCACATGCCCAGGTTGCAGACTCAATCCCCAGTGGGGGATATGCAGGAGGCAGCCGATCAATGATTCTCTTTCATCATCATCTCTCTCTCTCTCTCTCTCTCTCTCTCTCCCTTTTCCTTCCTCTCTGAAATCAATTAAAATATTATTAAAAAATGAAAGAAAATAAATAAGAAGGAACTTTCTTCTCCCTCCTTTCTCCTTTTCCCCAACCCCTCCCTGAAAATAGAAGCCCAGGGCTCTCCCTTTTCACACTAAAGGTGGGCAGGGCTGAGGGGGATGTATGAGGAGGGTAGGTGAAATGGGAGACAAAGAGCAAAGTAGGGGAGTGTTGCTGGGAAGCAACGATAACTCTGGGGTGGGATGGGGAGGTGGGCTCTACTTCAAAAGTCGGAGACAACATCCAGGCGTGGCCCTGCCTCCCAGCACTGCAGACGGAAGACCTCAGGATTGGGGTGGGGAGCAAGGACAGCTCACTCCATCCTCCTCAGCCACCCTCTAACCCTTCCCCAGCTGGCCCAAGGCCCAGAGTCATTCCTCAGTTAACTTCCCTGCAAGCTATCTAGTGGCCTGGTCCATCCCTTCCGCCCCCACACCCCAGATCCCTGAGAGATGCCTCAGTGACTGGAGAGGTGTCCCCACTCTGGCAACCACCCTGTCACCACCTGGGACCCCAAAGGTGAGGGAGTACAGCTGGGCAGTCTTGGGCATGTTACACAGGGGTGTGCACAGGTGCTGTGTGATGGAATTACTGCAGACACATGTCAGCATAGGAGGCCACGTTCTGTAGGGAGAGGCTGTGGTTCATGTGAAGGAGACCAGAAGGCAATTGCCTGGCGCCCAGCTCCTCAAAGTACGACATGGAGAGATTCTAGGATGCAGCAGGACACGGGGTTGTGGTTCTGAGGTGGGGGGCGGGGAAGCAGCAGCTGGGTACCTCCAGGCTTGGCTAACAATGGGCTCAAGCACCAGCCTGCACTGTATTTGAGGGACAAAGGACAGGAATTGGGAGGGGGTGGGGTGCATCTGACCAGCCTAGTCCCAGCTGTCCACCTCCTGGACAGAGGTGCTGGAGGTCCCTGGAATATTACCCTCACTCCCCTGCTCCTCACAGGCCAGCTGCTGCTCGCCCCCAGCTCAGGGGTATTAAAACACAAAACCAAAAAACTGCCCCACTCATTCATGCCAAAGACAAAGAGAAACCTTGTTTGTCTTTTGGCTAAGCTGAGGCCCCTGCTCAACCCGGCAGCTGGGCTCTGGGCATGTGCAGGCATGTATTGTGTGTGCGCTTGCATGTGCCCCTGTGTGTACTCTGGGAACACAGATTGTTAACCCTCTGATCAGTGGCTGCTCATGGCCCGGAGGCTGGCAAGAAAGTCTCCCTGCCCCGGTGGTGGAGGACCTGGGAGGCTGAGTCCAGGCCAAGGAGTGAGGCCTGGAAATCTGAGGCCAGAGCCAGTGGGTCACTAAGGAGGCCGTGGGGTCCGCCAGGGGAAGTGATCCTGGCCTTTCTGCTTCTCCAGCTCCATGGGGGCCCCTGAGAGCCCAGAACCCTATAGGACATGAAGACAGAGAGACAGGTCTAGGGTCATTTCCAAGGCTCTTAAATCCCTGGGCGCCTAGAGGACAAGTGTCAAGCGTGAGAGGTTCTCGCCACCTTGTGGGGACATGTGGTACTGCTCACTAAGTCCTGGACAACCAGGCTGGTGGGGAAGGAGAAAAACTGCTGGAACATCCACTAGGGCAGCGGTTCTCAACCTGTGGGTCGCAACCCCTTTGGGGGTCAAACGACCCTTTCACAGGGGTCGCCTAAGACCATCGGAAAACACATATAGCATATCAGCTATTTACATTACGTTTTATAACAGTAGCAAAATGACAGTTATGAAGTAGCAACGAAAATAATTTTATGGTTGGGGGTCACCACAACAGGAGGAACTGTATTAAAGGGTCGCGGCATTAGGAAGGTTGAGAACCACTGCACTAGGGGTTGGGCTGGCGCTGACTATCCTCACACTTCCATGGGCACAAGGGGTCTGGTAGGGAAATCCACCCAATACCCACCCAGGCTGGCCCAGCCCCACCTGCAGAGGCAAACCTGATGCCTCAGAGGCAGTCGGACCATGTTTGAAACAACTTGAAGGAAGGTTTGCAGGAGGAATGTTAGCGCTCATCTGTCCTAAGGAAAGCCCCGGAAGGGAAGGGGCCCTGTCTGAGACCCCACAGCACCTCCATCACAGAGGGAAGTTAGACTGAGGGTTGTTGACTTCAAGGTTCATGCATTTCCCATAGGTCCAGTGAGTCCAAGACAAGGTGTCCAGCCTGAAGCCCAGACCTACCGAGGCCCAGAACAAGAACAGCACAGTGAGAGTTCTTGCCTCGGTTTAGCCCGCGGGAGGGCATCTGGGACACGAGGAAGAGATGAAGCTGCAAGTGGGGCTCTGGGCTGATCTGGATCTTGATATTAAAGGGCAATGGATAACAGTAGCTTCTATGGGGCAAATACTGTGCTTAACATTACAAACATTGGCTTATTTAATACAATGGCCCTTTAAGGAAGGCACCTGATAATCCTTTTTTTTTTTTAGATAAGGAAATTGAGGCACAGAGAAAAAACTTGCCCTGGGTTACAGCTGGTAAATGGCCGAGCAGGGATCTGTGTATAGCGATTTTGACTCCAGTGAGTAAAAAGGCTCTGAGTGAAAAAAAGAGCATAATTTGCTTGCTCCCTCCTAGGAAACCCAGCAGGGCACCGCCAACTCCAGCCCAGGGCCGCCCTCCAGCCAGAGGAGCTGCCTTTTCTCCAGGAGGCATGGCCTCGGTGCGCCCTCTGCTGTGCACAGGAGGAACAAAGAGTTCCCTCCTGCTTGGTCAGACCCAGGGCTGAGTCCTGGAGATGGCTGGCAGGGACCAAGCTCTCCTCCCAAATACAGGCCAGGAAGGGGCTGGCTGACCACCACTGCAGAGCCCCCAGCTTGTCCACATCTACTCACCTGCAGAAGGGGGGGTTTGGTCCTACCCCTGGTTTCTCAGCGCTTCCCTCTCTTGGAATCTTGCCCACCTTCCCCTAAGGCAGCAGTTCTCAACCTGTGGGTCGCGACCCCTTTGGCGGTGGAACGACCCTTTCACAGGGGTCGCCTAAGACCATCCTGCATATCAGATATTTACATGACGATTCATAACAGTAGCAACATTACAGTTATGAAGTAGCAACGAAAATAATTTTATGGTTGGGTCACAACATGAGGAACTGTATTTAAAGGGCCAGAAGGTTGAGAACCACTGCCTAAGGCATGTTGGTCCTAGGCCCATTCCAGGTCCTGGACCATGGACCAGGTGGGTATAACCAGGAGGGCCCACAACAGGCCCCTGAGGAGGTGCATTGCCATGTGGGCACGGGGTAGACATGCTGTTATACTGAAATTCAGCGAGTCCAATAGAAAACGCCACAACCAGAGGGTCGAATTTTAGAGCTTTTATTTCAAAGCCGACGGCGACCACGAAGGGCTATCACCACTCCAAACCTCGAGGTCCCAAAATGAAGTTAGGGGCAAACTTATAAAGGCAAAAAGAGCAAAAAAAACTCTGGGATTGGTGCCATGAGACCCTATCTCAAGGCCTGGCCTGGAACCAGCCCTGACAATTCTGTCTGGGAGCGTCAGTTTATGGCCTTCCCAAGGTGGTAACAACGCTTAAGAAACAGGTCCTGCAAGATAGATGATTTAAGAGGGAGCAGTGACCAGACCATAGGCTGATTAAGAACGTACACCAGATTTCCATCACAGGCCCAAATTTCCAGCCCCCCCACCCCCCTTCACTTTCCCATTATTCAAGTAAGCATATTTACAAAAGCTAGAAATAGCATAGTTACTTATCTGGTTTAGTTATATCCTGGAATTAACAGGTCAATGGACCATCTGAGCCTGAGAGGAAGTCCTAACAAAATTTATGGGAATGAAAAGGGATGCCTAAGGTTCAGGTAGAGGGCAAGGGGATGAAAGGAGTCAGTTCTTTCAAGGTCCATTCTTCAATGGGAATCCAAGAGAGCCAGGGAAATGACCCATCCCTAAAGGCTGGACTCTCATGAGTAAGTCAAGGGTGAGGAAAGGTTTGTCAGGACTGGGGTCACTGTACGCAAAAAAGCATGAAGGAACAGGTGTCTGGGAATGCCCATCTTGGCCAACTTTGTTTGAACCTGGGCTTGCCACTGGGTGGGACTCGGTGAGAAGAGGCACACAGCCCCACAACTCCTCTGGAAATAAGGGCAGCACCCCATGTTTGGGTTAATTGCCTCAGGAACACCCCGGGGCCCAGCAAACCAGGGGATTAGCCATGGGCCCTGTATCAGAGGCATGACTGTACTCCAGGCACTAATAAAGGACAACTCACACTTTATTTGTATCTGCCTTTGACATGTACAAAAACTCTCAGCCCCCCCACCCCCCATCTGGGGAACAAACAGTAGGTTCTGGAGGGAGAAAGTATAAGAATGAGGCTTTGAAGTTCAATAGAAGGTGCTGTTACCCTGAGTAAAGGGCATCCATATAGGCTGAAACTTCGCTGTCCTCCCTCCCCGCCAGCCCATCTGTGAATCTACTGGGCCCTCCTTCTTGAAGCAGCTTTCCCCCCTCCCCCCATGGACTGGCCATGGAAGGAGACCCAACCCCTTCTCTTCAGTGTTTCAACTTCCTGTCCTACTTTTGCCATCCTTAAGATTCTATTCCTGGAGAGAGAACACCAATGCCCATCACTTCTCTCACCTAACTCCCATAAGCCTCCCCCTAACTCAGGGTGCTCAACACAGACTCCTAAGAACGGAGTGCCCCAGTGACCTCACAGCTGGCTGGGTCTGAGAGCAGGACAGTAGGCATGAGTGCTTATCTGTGTATAGCAGAGTTGGTGGTGCCATTGTGGCAAGATGTGAGGAGGCACAGGGCTTCTGGGTGTGCCCGAAAGAGGGGGAAGAGAGCCCCAGGAAACCAAGGATAGGGGCTTATTTATCGAAGAAGTCAACATGGGCTCCAGACTTGAACATATCTTTCTGAAGCAAGTTTAGCAGTTTCTGGGCTGACATCTTACAATCCACCAGCTCCCCCTTTGTCTTCAGCTCCTGCAGCCATTTCCGCAAGTCTGGGTCCACAGAGGTCTCCCGGGCCACCTGCTGCATGTCTGTGTCCAGGGGCCCTAGGGGATAAAGAGCAGAAGATGAGGGGGCCCTGCTGTGTGTGTGAAGTGGGGTGGAGTCAAGTGTGGCCAGAGGCAACACTTTATCTTGGCTAACATGTGTGGTCAGAGGCTCTACGCTGTCACTATTGAGCTCAAATTCCAATGCCCACTGAACATGGTCCCTCCAGACCACCTGGTGTACAACCAAACTTATTATCTCCTGTCCAACCAGTGCTTCCTCCTAAGGTGATGTCAGTGAACTCTTATAGGCACTTTCTGTTTTTCATATCAGAACCATAGCACCCCAGAATCTGGAGTTAACGGGCCTCAGGGGCAGAAAGTAAAGAAACCTCGTGGCTGGAAAAGCCAGCCTCCTGATCCTTGAATGTCTTTCAACCACCTGTGCATTCGACTTATCTCCTGTCCAACCAGTGCTTCCTCCTAAGGTGATGTCAGTGAACTCTTATAGGCACTTTCTGTTTTTCATATCAGAACCATAGCACCCCAGAATCTGGAGTTAACGGGCCTCAGGGGCAGAAAGTAAAGAAACCTCGTGGCTGGAAAAGCCAGCCTCCTGATCCTTGAATGTCTTTCAACCACCTGTGCATTCCTGGTAAGTGGGGACTTGCTACTTTGCCAAACAGCATCCGTCCCCCTCTCCCCCACTTTGGACACCGGTTACAACATTCTTTCAGAGACTGAAATGAAACCACGACCTTCATTCAGGCCCTGGCAGCCTTGCAAAAAGTTCAACTTCCTCCTAATTCCCAGAGTCCGCTGGGATCTAACCCAGTCACATGGCATTCTGGAGTCTGCTCCACTCCTGGCTGTGGTTTTCATTTGCTCACTGTTAACTAAGTCCTCGGCTGAGCTCAGATTGGGGGCTGAGTTGCCTGTTGGCTGGAAAAGTAACCGAGTATGTGTTAGGGAGAACTGGGTACTGGAGAGCATGAGGAAGTAGAAATGGCACTGGTCATGAATTTGGAGGTGAAGTTTGATCCTGGGACTTTGATCCTTGGACTTCTGCCACATCTGAACTTTGGGCAGGTCATTCTACCCCTTGGCCTCCAGGGTGCCAAGAGGAATAGACTATTGGATCTCTAAGCTGCTCAGACATTAAACAATAGCTGTCACCACCTTCTAATTGCAGCAACCTCAAGCCTCGCTTTTAAGAAAGGCACAGTGGCATCATGACAGGGTCGCGAGAAACCACGCATCACAAGATCCCTGACACTTTAACCTCTGTGAGGGCCCTACCTTATTTACCCCAGAATTTCCCCCACCCCCAACCAGTGTTCCAGCACAGTTCAGGCTGATACCGTCAGCATTCAACAATGTCTGTGTGCTCTTCACTCAACTAACATTTTCTGCAGAGTGATTCAATGGGGTGCTCTGCTACGTGCTGGAGATATGCAGGCATATTCCCTGCCTTCAAGGCTTTCCTTATCAAGATAGAGAAGCATACAAATGACGTTAATATAGTGTGGTAAGTCCTATCTAATAATCAGAAGTGCTAACAATTAGATCGCCCTTCACAATGAGGGATTTTCACATATCTTACCTGATTCGGTCCTCCTAACTGCCCTGAGAGACAAGTAGAATCTTCCGTTTTACATGAGGAAATGGGGTACAGGCTGGAATTCAAGCCCTGTCTCTCAAACTCTAATAGCTCAGACTTTCTGGGCCCACTCTCCAGTTCAGGCAGCTCCCCACTCTCTCTCCCCACCCTCTAACTATGGCTCCCTGCTCCTGCCAGGTCTAACCTCCTTGGGCCCTTTATTTCCCTTAAGGAATGATGGCTTATGATTCAGGGACACTATATTTGGAGGGACCAGACTAGGTCCCTTGCCCAGCCCCCAGAGGGGAACCAGCTGGTTCTGGGGGACAGGGATGGCAGTAATGTCCCACCTACCTGGAGCATAGCTCAGCACCCTCACACCAGGCTCCTCTGAGGCCAGCACCTTGAACATCATCTCACGGGCAGCCTTCCCCGCACAGTACAGCGTCCAGCCCTTGAAGGGCTGCAGAGCACAGATGGAAGAGATGTTAACCACAGTCCTGCTGAGGCCAGGACTGTCCGGGAAGGCCCTCAGGATGCAGGAAGTCAGGCAGAGCATGGAGGTTAAGTTCAGAGCCCAGTAGCTGTTCATTTCAGCAGCATCAGCCAGGTTGACGAAGCCTTTGGACACATCCCCAAGCGTGCCTGAAAAACCAGACCTTAAGAATCACCCAGTGCAAGCGGGCTTTCTCTTCTCCCGGCCCTCTCCAAATTCCTCCAGACACCGCCTTCCCATCCAGACCTATCGGAGCCGTCTCCCTAGGGCTTCTGAAGGCGCCTTTCCCTTGGCAGCTCTGCAGACGCACACACCCGGGGCGTCCACTCACCCCAAGTTGCAGACGGAGAAGGCCCTGGTCTGGGACTGGTCGAGAACTCTGGGGCCTTTTGCAGGAGCGGGGAAATTTCCTACACCTGGGAGACCCACACCCGGACTCAGGCCTCCGCCAGAGGGCGTCGAGCAGGACGATCGGGAAAGTTCCACGGGGCTCCAGGAAAACCTGGCCTTTAACCGGGAGGGGCGGAGGGCGGAAGGCGAATGGGGAGGGGGGCAAGGAATGCGCACAGGGTCCTCCTCCACACCTCAGGGAAACAGCCAGGACTTTCGGGCGTCTTTTCTGACTCCGAGCAGTCACCTTTAAAGTTCCCAGCGCCGGGGGCAGTGAGAGGGAGAAGGAAAGGGGCGCTGAGCATTCCCAGCGCCCACCCGGGAGTCGGTGCCCGCCGGCGGGCGTCCTACCTGCATTGTTGATCAGCAGCACCCGCTGCAGCCCCTCGGGCCTGGGCA